ATGTATATGTATACATATGTATGTATATATAAATATATATATATGTATATGTATGTATGTATGTATTTATTTATGTATGTTTATTAATATAAATATATATATATGTGTGTGTGTGTGTGTATGTATTTATGTGTGTGTGTGTGTGTGTTATTTATATGTCTTTATATGTATATGTACATGTATGTAAGTATGTATATATACATATTTATGTATGTATATGTATATATATATATATATTTATATTTATATTTATATTTATATATATAGTAATTGGTGTGTGATATGTGTGACACCTAGTCCACGTGACGTGTGACACTGAGTGCGCGAATGTACCTTTGTATATGATGGTGAGTTTTGGATGGTGCATAACATACATAAAACATGACTACAGACTCATTTCATGTAAGCCATTGGGTAAGAGTATTTGGGTGAACTTAGAAGTCTATGGAATATACTAACCAAGTCCCAGATGTCTGCTGCATTTGTCCTGAACACTGGTACTCTGTTTGACATCCCCACAGATACCTCCACATCTGCGCACGTGGAAATGATAGGGCCGTCTGGAGTGTCATTTGATATCGGAGAAGACGAGGTACACATAGAGAGAGCTGACACACCCACAGAAGACACTCCCACAGAAGACACTCCCACAGACACGCCAACAGACTCGCGCACAGACTCACCTACAGACAACCCCACGGCCAAGGATGAAAGTCGGCCAGTTACCAGCACACACACACACGCCCACGCGTCCATGGATATGAATGCAGGAAGTGATGCTAAGTACACAGACACGCACACAAGTCAAGATGAACACACACAGAGAGACGGGTACGACCCGGAAGATTCACACGCAGACAGCAGTAGGTGTCCCTGCGCGGGTGGTCCGGTGTTTGTGGTAACCATAGCAACGGAGTACGAGGGCAAGATATCACAGGTGCAGAGGTTCTTGGTCACACATGAGGGGCGCGAGCATGAGGTGGCGGTTACGCTGCTGTGCAATGTCATGCGCAAGGGCTCTGGCACACCGTCACTAAAGCCAGGCGTAAGGTGTGCATGAACTGTGCGTGTGTCTGTATATGAGTGCCTTATGACCATGTGTGCAGTTGTATATCTTAATTCAGGCGTAGGTGTGCATGGACTGTGCGTGTGTCTGTATATCCTTGTGTTCAGTTGTGTATCTTAAGCCAGGCGTAAGGTGTGCATGGACTGTGCGTGTGTCTGTATATGAGTGTCTTATGACCATGTGTGCAGTTGTATATCTTAATTCAAGCGTAAGGTATCCATGGACTGTGCGAGTGTCTCTATATCCTTGTGTTCAGTTGTGTATCTTAAGCCAGGCGTAAGGTATCCATGGACTGTGCGTGTGTCTGTGCATGAGTGTCTTATGACCATGTGTGCAGCTTTGTATTTTAATCCAGGCGTAAGGTATGCATGGACTGTGCGTGTGTCAGTATATGAGTGTCTTATGACCATGTGTGCAGTTGTTAATTTACCACATTGGCTGTTAAATGATTATAATTGCTTAAGGTTGCTGTGGGCCGTGTATGTGTTTGCCACACTGTGGTGCACTATCATACGCAAGGTGTACAGCACACCATTGCTCACGCCAGGCACGTGTGTATGTATAGTCTGTGCGTTCGTGTGCGTGTAGGTGAAGTATAACTAGCTTCCTTTTCCCTTGACTTCTGGTGCATAGTAGCTTCACGTGACGTTCCTCATTTGCTATGGGTAGGATATACAACTGTCACGCTGCCGTGTACAGAGTGACATATGCGAAGGCTGACATGCACTGCCTAAAGCGCCGCGTGTCTGCGGCTGCAGAGACTGTGCCTACGGCTATATACGGGCATTGTTTAATGTATTTGTCGTTTGCGTGTGACATGGAAGTTCACTTCTAGACTGTGCCTACGGCTATATACGGGCATTGTTTAATGTATTTGTCGTATGCGTCTGGCATGGAAGTTCACTTCTAGACTGTGCCTATGGCTATATACGGGCATTGTTTAATGTAATTGTCGTATGCGTGTGGTATGGAAGTTCACTTCTAGACTGTGCCTATGGCTATATACGGGCATTGTGTAATGTAATTGTCGTATGCGTGTGGTATGGAAGTTCACTTCTAGGCTGTGCCTACGGCTATATACGGGCATTGATTAATGTATTTGTCGTATGCGTGTGGCATGGAAGTGCACTTCTATGCAGCGTAGGTCATAGTCGTGGTGCTATACATAATAAACGTATACGTCATGTGGTATATGGCATTTAGTGTAGTTTGCCTCATTGGTTTACGTTTTAAGGTTAAGTTTGTCCATCATTCGGCTTGTCTTAGCCAGGTATCGAATGGGTCTGGCTGCACGGCCCTAAACTATTCCTTAACCTGACACGCTGACATTGACACATTAACACGCTGACATTTCACAGGCTTGTCGGGTGTGCCAGTCATGACAGCGACTACGAGACGGAATGGACGGGATTCTGAGCCTCAAAGTCGACACAACCACACCCACACTCACACTCACACTCACTTCAACACCCGTCCCCATAGCAACAGCCACGGCCACAGCCACAGCCTAAAACACGTATAACGATAAACACTGACCTCACCCCCACTGATTATAGCGGTACAGAAGCGTACAGCATTAAATATACCTGCACAATGCCACACACTCTACTGTCTACCTACTGATGACTACCCGTGCCCTGTATCGCTGTTGTACTGGGTTGCCTCGTGGGCAGTAGCTTTCCCATACTGATTGGGTGTGTTATTCTGCGCTCTATTTGTGGTAGGTATCGGCGACAGCACACAACACTGTACGATATATGTGCAACCCATCACCTATACAGCCAGTACTGCAGCCATCTTTATCGCCTATACAGCCAGTACTACAGCCATCTTTATCACCTATACAGCCAGTACTACAGCCATCTTTATCACCAAAACAGTCAGCACTACAGTCATCTTTATCACCTATACAGTCAGTACTACAGCCATCTTTATCACATATACAGTCAGTACTACAGCCATATTTATCACCTATACAGCGAGTACTGCAGCCCTCTTTGGCCAAAGTGCTTAAGTGGCGTTTGGCTCAAGCGCAATGTAGGGCCAATGAGTGTATATGTATATAAATATAT